TCCACCTGCAAAACCAAACCTGCTGGACCTGCCACTTCCCTGACCAGCCTTTCCTCTCCATGAACAACCCCCCAAGTTGGGGACCGCTCTCCTCGGTGATGACAAGGGTCTCACATTGGTGTGGCCCCTCCAGACCTTGCCACCACCTCAGTGACCCCCACCCCCATTGTCTCCTCATCCTGCAAGTTGGGATGTCAAGGCTTTTTAGTTGTCAAACTAGGACAACTTGAGGTGGGGACCTCGGCAGAGGGGCCAGTGACAGGAGGATGGATGGGCAGAGGGCCCAGAGCTCAGAGGACGTGGTCGAGGGACCAGCCCCAGGGACCTGGCAGGAAGAGGCCAGACCACTTCTGAGGCTCCCACTGAACCCAGACCCCACCAGGCTGAGGGGCTCGCACCTGCGGAGGAGGTAGGGGAGAGGGGTGGAGAGCAGAGGCTTCGCATCCTCCTGTTCTTGGCCAGGGCTCCCAAACCAAATGCCACCCCTGCACACACACCACACAGGCACACACGTGCATATCACAGACACACCACATGGGAACACACACGAGTGCACACAAACCAGACACACAAGAGTGTACACAGGCACACACACAGGTGCACACAGGCACACACCACACAGGCCAACCACGTGCACACACGACAAAGGTGCACACACATGCGTGCACACACACGTGCACATACACAAGCACACTCACGCACCACACATGTGCACATACCACGGGCACACACACATACAAACACAATCACACATACATTCTCAGACACACAGGCATATATACTTCATGCGCCTATCTACCCAGATACATGCATAGAGGCATCACACTACACACATAAACACACAATACACATGCACATACATGCACAGAGGCATCACACTACATACACACAATACACATGCACACACATATACACACACATGCAGAGGCATCACACTACATGCACAAACATGCAATACACACACATGCAGAGGCATCACACTACATGCACAGACATGCAATACACACATGCAGAGGCATCACACTACATGCACAAACATGCAATACAAATGCACACACATGCACAGAGGCATCACACCACACACAATACACATGCACACACATGCACAGAGGCATCACACTAGATGCACAAACATGTAATACACATGCACACACATGCATGCAGAGGCATCACACTACACACACACTCAATACGCATGCACACACATACACAGCAACCAAATGATCAAGGAAAGGGATCAAATGTTCACAGTAAGTGAGCCTGGATAGAGTATTCTCTGTCCTGTGCTTACTCTTGCAACTTTTTTGTATATTTGACTTTATTTCCAAAGTAAGTTTTTTAAAAAAGGAATGCCCTCACCTCACCAGCCACCACCCCGTACCACCCCCTCAAATACACCTCAAGCAGATGTTGGGACCAGGGTCCCTCTCTTGGCGCTCCTCTGCAGGGCTGTGGTGTACCCACTAGTGAAGACAGACACCTGTGCCCCAGCCCAGCCCCAACCTTCTGCTTGTCCCTGCACCCCAGGTGCTTATGCCCAGCTCGAGGGTGTAGCAAGCTTCCCAAAATCTAAGGGGAGGGGGAAGGGAGGCCATTCCATCCCTGAGGCCTGGCAGAGCGGGTTAACCTAGGGACCTGGTGTTCTGGGGCCCCATCAAGGCCACCCTCCTGCGCACCTGTACCCACACTGAGGAATGACCTCAACTGCCACACCTGCCACCATCTCTGGAGGTGGCTGTGGCCACATTAGCTGAGCTCAGCTCAGCCCAAGCAGCAAACTGCACCTTGGGGTCTCCTCGTATGGTGAGAAGATCACAGCAGAAGCTGGCATTGGGGAGTCAGGGCACCACGATGCCAGTTCTGGACATCCCCTCCTGTCTGGGCTGGACACTGGCCCCAGGCACCTCTCACCCGGAAGCACACCATCGCCCACCCCTGTGCCCTGGACCCTCCACAGGGCCAAAAGGGGGGTGCTGTGCCAGAGAAGTGGCTGCCACCCACCCTCAGAAAGTCTCCTCTTCCAGCCTGACGGTTCCACAGGACTGAGGTGACACTCTCCCTGGCCTCACAAGTGGTGGCCGAAGCCCAAAGCCCCCGAGGGCCTCATCACCTGCCCCTACTCTCCTCCCCTGGTCCCTCAGAGGTTGCCCCGGGGCTGCCCAGCCTGCGGGGGCCCAGCCCTGACCACGACAGCACGTTAAGGCTGCCCTCGGGCCTGAAGGAGACCATTCCTGCCCCACAGCTGCTCCTGGAACCAAGCCGTCATGCTGCGGCGTCCTGGCTGCCCCGTCCGTCTGCAGGAGCCCTGCCATCACCCACGGAAGCAGCACTGCCATCTCCCAGCCTCACCCTCCGCAGGACACCAGGGAGCATCAGCCTGCTGTTGTGGCACGTGCAGGGCTGTGACTTCTCACAGCTGAGGCCCTGACCTCAGGCAGCTCGCCCTGTCCTCGGGAGGCCACAGAGCTTGGAGGAGTGCCCAAGACACCCCTATGTCCAGAGTACACTGGATGCCCCTGCGCCCCAGCTCTGCCCAGATGCTAGCAGTTGCTGGTCCTCCTTTGACTCTGGGTGGCCAGGACACGTGGGGGAGGGAGGGTGCTGGCCCCAAACAGCCCCACAGGTCATGTGGACTTCCCAAAAGCAAAGGGGCCTCGTGGCAGACCTGTCCTGAGATCTGACCCTCAGCCCTGGGCCACGGCAGGAAGCACAGCAGGTCCGATGGGCACCCCTGGAACTCACGGGAGTCGTTCCAGCACCTGGAGCCTGATTAGCTCAGCGAGTCTGGCTCCTCTCGCGTGAGCTAAGCAACCCAGCAGGACGAGGCCTCGCAGGTGCCCAAACCAACGCTCCCACCTGGTCCAGCTGGCGGCGATGTGTGAGACACCTAGGCCTGTGCCCGGCTGCCAGGAGAGGAGGGAACCTGGACTGCCATCCAGTCCGAATACACCACGACTTACCTGCAAGCAGCCCACTCCCTCTCACACTCCACCAGGGTCCCCTCCTTGGCAATCCTTCTCAGTAATGAGGGGCTCTGAGAAGCCTTCCAGGGAGGGGCCTGGTGGCTCAAGGAGCCTCTGAACGGGGCTGCTTTTTTCTTATTGCCATGTAAGCCCTATGAAGGTGTAAGCAGGGCTTAACTGCTTCTTTTCGGGTGTGTGCACCCGAAACTTAGCCGTCTTCCCGACGCTGAGGGAGCCAGGAGTCATGGCTGTGCCTGAAGCCACACAGCAACAGGACTGCTCCAAGCTGGGAGCCCAGGTGCAGATTCCTTTCTCATGAAGGTGGGCTCACCGCTGGCATTTGGCCAGAGAGGGCATTTCCGTCCTACCAAAGACTTCAATTCTGGACAGTGAGGAGCCTGGGAGGGCCGGGATCCAGCCCAAAGCACCACAGGCCCGGGCTGTTTAACACGCAGTGCAGGACAGCCAACTGCAAAGCCGTCCTGTAATCCACCGGAAGCCCAGGACACTGGCTTCCAACTGAGCTACAACCAGACCCTCCAAGGAAGCTTCCAGAGGCAGAGGCATCTCAAACAGTACATCCAGCTGTAGGCTGTTCCAGTAGCTTAGCATTCATTATGACATTGAAGAATTCTAGCATGGGCCTGGCACAGTGGCTCACGCCTGTAATCCTAGCACTTCGGGAGGCCAAGGTGGGAGGATCACTTGAGGTCAGGAGTTTGAGACCAGCCTGGCCAACATGGTGAAACCCCTTCTCTACTAAAAATACAAAAATCAGCCACGGTGGGGCGGGGGGTGGTGAGTGCCTGTAATACCAGCTACTCCGGAGGCTAAGGCAGGAGCATCTCTTGAACCCGGGAGGCGGAGGTTGCACTGAGCCCAGATTGTGCCACTGCCCTCCAGCAAGAGCAAAACACCATTCTAGCATGGTGTGCTTTGGGGAGGGGCAGAAGGAACAGGGAACAGGGCTCACGGGGCTGGCTTTGAGGGAGGGAGGGGTGAGAAATACTAACAACTTACAGCTCTTTATAAAGCAAAATGAGATGAAGTCCATCCCCCTCCACCAGCCTATGCCTTCCATTTCTCCCTTCCCCTGGTGGGCCTGGCTCCTGGTGTGGCATCACCACGCACCAGGAATGCAGGCAGGAGGCCCCTGACACCAGACGCAGCATCAGTTCTACAAGTTGACAGAGGGAGAAGCCACCGACTCCTTCCGTCTTTGGAGCCCTCAGGAGAGGCGTTGCCTAGACCGTGCTTGCCAGTATCCATTTACAAGCCAGTCAGCAACCACCGCTCACCACCACCTCCCACTCCATGGGGACGAGAGTACCCACTTCTTCCACACCAACCAAACCAACCGAAGCAGCATGGCACCCGGCAGTCCTGCTCGCCACCTCTCAGCACCTAAACGGCGGGAACTCACCTTCCTCTAAAGGAGCCCGGAACTTGCACACACGCCAGAAAATGGCATAAAATAGGAACTAGCCACTCGAGGCTGAAAATGGAGCTGCAGGTGGGAGCGCACAGCCTGCCTCTAAGGGGCCTTCACAACAGACATTTCCCTAAAGCAACTACTAACTTCTGGCAGAGGCGGTGACAGCTGGGAAAGGGACACAGGGCTTTCTGGGCTGATGTGAATACTGTAACTTTATCACATACTTGTCAACTTCGGCAGATGTATACAATGTGCATTTCGCTATTTGTAAATTTTACCTCAAAAGGCAAACAAACTAAACAACTATTAAACTCTCACCGCATAAAAAAATAAGAGGCACTGGAGGATGAATGGAGGGATGGAGACGGTAAGGAGCCCTGTCAGAGAGGGTGCGGTGCCCAGGTACAGCACGCGTCCCTGTGTCTGCGCTTCAGTGTGCTGGGGGACAGGTGAGGGTGCCACGTAGTTTATTGTCTTAAATTAACAGCTCCCTCCTCCCAAGCTAGTGAACAAGAACCCCACAGCTTGAGAAACACAGGGCTTTGCAGCTTAAAAAACTCTAAAACTCATCAAGTAGGGTGAAGAAGGAGATGACGCCCGGCTTGCTAAATAGTACTGTTTATTAAGGCTTGTATTCTCCTAGAGGAAAGAGTCCAGTGTCGTCCAGGACTCCACTCAGAGAGAAACAGTTCAGAGGAAGTGACACGTTCTAAATACAAGTCTAATGATACAGCTGAACGTTAACTCAGAGGGTCTTTTGGAGCAAGGAGTTTTAACGAAGCGTCTGCTTTCTAGGACAGTAAGGGTCCTCTACAAGGGCACGTGCAGATTCGGGCGCTGGAGCGTCAGGCATGAGCACCATTTTCATGCTTAAACTCAAACTCCAGGTGGTGGCGACTTCAACGGTCCCTCATTCCACAAAACATGACAGCAAATTCATTTTCTAAAAAAGTTTTGTTTTTACCCATTCAACAAGAAAAAACATCAGACACACACAGTGAAATTTACAGCCAGCAGCATCATCCATCACACTGTCTGTACTATCAGATCCTACACTTAAAGCTCAGCAGTACTGGTATAAGGACTTAAGACAGCATCCGGATTCTTAAGCAAAGGGTAAAATTTAAAAAGATCTGCAGACAACAAAGAACGCCTGAGCCTGAACCAGACGTCCACACATCACGCCCCCGGCCCGACTGGGCAACAGGACAGCGAGCGGAGGGAGAGGCAGCTGTTCAGTGGGCAACAGATCTGGAAGGAAAGACTTTCCAAAAAAAGAAAACATGTCTGCCAAATGTGAAAAATTAAAAGTTATCTTTCTGTCTAGTAGAAAAATCAAATGGGCAAATTAGCACTTTAGACTGATAAAAGATAATAAAATGATGAATCAGAATGAACAAGATAATCATTGACCTTTTCAGTATTTTCAGATTTTATCAGAAGGCTCTCAGTGACAAAGTGACTCATGGTTTTTCTGTTTGCTATGAAGCAGTAATGGGATGAGAAATACGAGGTCTCATAGAACAGTATCAAATGACTGTGAATTTAAGAACATAATTTCTGCCAAAATAGATGCTTCATGTGTTTTTAAGGATACTTGTATTTCACATTAGATTGGTCTCATTGATAAGCTGACCAAAAAAAAATACTCCTTTATTAGTGGCTTCTAGAAGATTAGAATACATAGAAAAGTACAAATAAATGCAAGTTCATTTGGGCAAAAATAAACAACAAGAAAGGCAAAGATGCAACGCTCAACCCCGCACGGGACGACACGCTGGAGCTGACCAAGCACACGTGTTTTAAACTGTTTTCAAAGTCACATGTTAGAACATGTAGGAAACTGGTTTCTCCTTATTGTTTGTTCCGATTCTGCCGTTCCTGTGAAAAGACAAGAGGTGAACATGCTGAGTAGCCATGCCACACAGCTGAATCCCTCCCAAAAGTGAGGTCCAAGGCTGCCGGTGGCTGCTCCTGCACAGCTGGAGGTGGGAACCTACTCGGTGCCCGAGCCACACCAGCACACGACCCTGAGCTGCGCTGCGGCCGGGTCCCACAGACCGGGGCTGTGTGGTGGCTATCCACACAGGTATGGCAAGCTCCCCAACCCTCTACTAGGAGAAAAGCACCAACCGCCACAGTCACATGGACCAACGTCTGCTGGGAGACCTCACTTCCCAGAGCTATCTTTCCCTCAGGTGCCACTATCATCCCACATGGAAAGACGCTTAGCAATGTGAAATCCTCTGCACTCGGGGCGAGGAGCTGGCATGCACCAGGCTCTCAAGCAGACTATGGAGACAGAAGCTAGTCTTCTGTATTTTATCTCATTTAAACTTCTCAGTGGCTCAAAGGACACCAATATCTTTCCAACTGGCTATCAAGGTGGTGTGTCACACGGCAGGAGGACCCGTGTGGGCCTGTCCAGTTCAGGCCCTTCCCACTCCCCAGCACACTCCCACAGCAAGGAGAAGACCATCTCCCCCCAACCCCACGACTAGGCTGGCTCAAGGCAGAGCTCCTCTGGCCAGGTCTGCTGCCCACTCCCATAAGAGAACCATCTTTTCCAGAGCGTGCGTGACACACAAGCTTGAGACTTACACCTGAATCTTTCACCACCTTTGCCTCCCTGATGGGAAGGGTCTAAAAGCCCCCTCCCTCAGTCTCCTACAAGGCAGCATCCGAAGATGAAAATGTGCAATCCAAGGAGCACATGCTATACCAGTTGGCTAGAGAGGCGTCCCAGGCCCAGTGTGGTGGTGTGCACCTGTAACGCCAGCTACTTGGGAGGCTGAGGCGCAAGGATCACGTGAGCCCATGTTTTGGCTAGAGTGAGCTATTATCTGCCCTGCACTCCAGCCTGGGCGACGGACAGAGACCCTATCTCAAAATAAAAATAAAAAGATACATCCGAGGCACATCCAACTTTATCTGGCCCCCTTATCTATCAAAATGCAAACCAATAATGAAAGCCAGTGGACAGGACACCCATTTAATCCTCTTTTGCTAAAAATGGACTGAATGTGTCTTCAGGCACTGCAATGAACACCAGCCTCCTCAACTGTGGCTGCTCTCAAAAGCAGCTGTGGTGCTCTCTGTCCTGAGAAGGCGCCAAAGTATTTGGATTAAGGAGCTGGGTAGGCAGGTGCTAGTCCTAAGAATTAACATCTCCTTCCTCCCCTCAAAATGTAAAACTGGAAAAATTAAGAACTCTATATTTTGCATTCTTTTAAAAATTGTTAAAAAAAAATCTCTTCACAGGCTGGGCGTGGTGGCTCACACCTGTAATCCTAGCACTCTGGGAGGCCAAGGCGGGCGGATTGCCTGAGCTCAGGAGTTCGAGACCAACCTGGGCAACACGGTAAAACCCCACCTCTGCTAAGAATACAAAAAAATTAGCCAGGCATGGTGGTGGGCGCCTGCAACCCCAGCCACTGTGAAGGCTGTGGCACAAGAATTGCTTGAACCTGGGAGGCAGAGGTTGCAGTGAGCTGAGATCGTGCCACTTCACTCCAGCCTGGGGGACAGAGCAAACCTGTCTCCAAAAAATATACTTAACAAAAGAGGTATGTATTGCTGTTCCCAAAAAAACAAATGCCTATCTCTTGAATTCAAATAGTGATGTTAAAGCCAATCACAGGGAAACTCCCCAGTTCCCTGTCTCCCTTCAGCCCTTATAGACAGCTACAAAGTTCACTGTGTGCTCTTTAAAATACTATTCCTCATAAAATTTCTTAAAGAAAGAAGGACTGACAAGTCCAGCTCGTTCTTTCAAGGAATGCTCAACAAGCATCCAGGAAATGCTTATTCCTAAGATTCTCTCTGCTCTCCACTTGGTTTCCAAAGTCAAGGGGCCCCTCTGTGGAGCCAGCCAGAGCTCATGCAGCGATGACCCGAGGTCGATGTGGGGTCAGGTCAGGGGCACCTGCAGCCAGGTCCAGGACAGTCAGTCTGAGGAACTAAGCGATGCTCACAGTGTGGGACACTCATCACTCTCACTGTTTTAAGCCAAGAAGTGGCCGTTTATAGATTTTTTTTAAAAACCAAAAAACGTATCAACCCAGGACTTGGTCTGACACTGCTGCCATAGAAACCGTCCTAAGAAATCAGTATGTGTCCAAATCTATGGCTGAACAGCGATCCTGCAAAACGCTAACTACATTTCACTTTCTCAACACTCAGTTTATGTATGAGCTTGAACGCAACGGGGCCAAACTCTAAATGATAAACAAAACGTGGGTCTGTTCTTAGAAGTCCTGAGAGAACCCTGTGGAAACTACCCTGGGTCCACCAGCACCCGCAGTTTATGATGACTGAGTGGAGAGCCACTCCTCACGACTCTCTTCAGTACACTCTGCTCTTCGAACTGCACCACTCTTCATGGGAAACCCAAGAGGGAAAAGGCGTGAGACACCCAGAGTCTGCCCTAGGACACCTAAGACTTCAATCCTGGATGAGCCACTAGCCCAGCCTGTTAAGCGTGGCATCTGTTAAGCAGCCTGGAAGGCAGGGAGAGCCAGCACCCAAGTCCAGTCTGGGGATCTCCTCAAGAACCACCTCCATTTCCCTACACTGCCCAATAAGCTTAAAAAACATCTGACGCCGGGCACAGTGGCTCATGCCTATAATCCCAGCACTTTGGGAAGCTAAGGTGAGAGGATCGCTTGAGCCCAGGAGTTCAAGACCAGCCGGGGCAACACAGCAAGACACTGACTCTACAAAAAAGATACAAATACTCGCCAGGCATGGTGGTGCACGCCTGTAGCTACTCAGGAGGCTGAGGCAGGAAGACTGCTTGAGCCCAGGAGGTCAAGGCTACAATAAGCTGTGATTAAGCCACTGTACTCCAGACTGGTAAACAAAAAACAAGTTATTTGAGGCTGGGCACAGTGGCTCATACCTGTAATCCAGCACTTTGGGAGGCTGAGGTGGGTGGATCACTTGAGGTCAGGAGATTGAGGCCAGCCTGGCCAACATGGTGAAATCCCATCTCCACTAAAAATATAAAAATTAGCTGGACGCGGTGGCGGGCGTCTATAATCCCAGCTACTTGGGAGGCTGAGGCAGGAGAATTGCTTGAACCCAGGAGGTGGAGGTTGCAGTGAGACAAGATTTCACCACAACACTCCCCACTGGGTAACAGAGTGAGATGCTACCTCAAAAAAAAAAAAGGAAAGCTATTTGAAATTCCACCAAACATTAACAAATCAGGTTCTCATTTGTCACTTTCGATTATATGAATTAATGTTAACACTGACCCACAAGGGCCCCAAGCTTTCCAGCTTGGCTAACGGTTTAGGGGAGGGCTACCTAGGTCCTTCCAGTGATGTTCTACTGGAAGCCCGGTGGGACTTGCCCTGGAGCAATTGAGACACAAAAAAGCAGTTATCTAAGGATCAGGTTTTTATAATGCAAGTTGCAGGACACTAGATTTAAGTTGCAGACACAGTATGTAAGAAGAGAAACTGCACGCACACACACACCCAGCCAGCTTCCAGTTTAGCCAGCTAAGAACCTAAAGCTTCATTAGCAATTATCCCTGCAAATTCAGCAATTACTTGTTTTACACCTAAAAGAACTATGTCTGTAACTGCAACTACCCGGAAGGCTAAGAACTGCTCGAACCCTGGAGGCGGAGGTTGCAGTGAGCAGAGAAGGTGCCACTGCACTGCAGCCTGGGGGACAGGGAGGGACTCCATCTCAAAATGAAATCAAAGAGTTAAAGTACAGAATTTCAGTAACTGGAAATAAATGACACCCTCTCCTCTTCTCATAAAAGAGAGGGACCAATACTTTTCCAAAGTTCTACAAGCCCCGAGTTGTTCAGCACTTGTGTCACGTAAGACTGCTGACAGCTCTATTCTATATATCCCTAACATGCCACGTACACGCCTTTCTGCCCAGAATACATTAGGACACTCGGCGCTGACAGATGAGTAATTCCTTTCTGAACAGAGACCTGAAAAAATACTGAAAACTCATCTATTATCAACTGACACTTCATGAAGGGGTATTTTTTTAAAAGCAGGAGAGAATCTCAGGATAAACTCTTTTAATAAAGGAAGCTTTATGAAGTGTGTTATCATCATTTTCCCATTGCTGGTGCCAGTGTATGGGCATCTGAGCCCTGACGAAGAACAAACACTCCGTCCTGCCCTACCTCATGACAGCAGATTCAGGAGTCTGGCTACAAGTCTCAGGAAATCAGGACTGTCTCAAAAATATCCAATCAATGGATTTTTGATATAGGATCCATATTTGTTATTTAAAATGTCTGGATTCCAAACCTACCCCCCCACCACCATTTTCTTTACTACCTAGATGGAGTCAGTCTGTTTCCACAAGGCTGCCTGGACCTGGGCCCGCCCACCTGCGGCCAACTGGGAGACCTTGGGAGCTGCCCATCATGGGACCCAGCTCAGACTCAGCTCGGCAGACCTGCCATATCTGCTCGCCGCCAGGCCACCTGGTCTGAGTGCAGCACCAAGGACGCACCTGCATGGCGGGTGCCGGCAACAACCCGACTCACCTTGCGCACCACCTCCTCCTCCTCCTGGCGCTTCTCGTAGTGAGCAAAGTCATCGAAGATGGAGGTTGTGTGCTTGTAGGAACTGATAATTTTCAGCACTTGTTTTGCTTTTTCTAAGGGCACCTCCTGGGTGTCCCGGGAGTTTGTGACGGGTTTGTTGTCGTTATTCTCCAGTCTGATGTGCCGGAGCTGGTTATTGGGCACATCCTTAACAAAAATCCACTTGACATCAAACTTCCCCTTCCACTTGTCCTGAGACCAGACCCCAGCACTGGTGCCGTAGTCCACGGGGGACTTCATCTCAGCCACCCCACAAAAATGCCCACTCCCGTTGACGCTGAAGAGCAGGTAGACGGGCCCCTTGCTGCTCACGCAGCGGAAGGCGCTGTCCAGGCGTCTGTTGCCGTGCTCCGTGCTACACCAGATAGAGTACTTAATGGAGCGGTGGATGTCATCCTCAGAGTAGCTCTTGATGATGAACACACGCCCGCTTTTCAGATTCCAGTCAAATTCTTTAGGGTTATAGCTGTGAGCAGCCTTCAGTTTTTCAAGGACGGGGTGGGATTCGACGCTGGGGGCAGCGTTAGGCTGGACACTTCCAGGAGAGTTGCTATCACTGCCAGCCCCTCCACTCTGCCCAAATGCTGCGTTTCTGTTGCGTGGGGCGACCCAGCGGGTCTGGGGTGGCTGCTGAGGGCTCTGATACTGCGGTTGAGCCGAAGGTGGGGGCTGTGTTGGGAGAGGCGGAGCCACCTGCTGGGGCGGTGGGGCAGCCTGCGGGGAGGGTGCCTGTTGGGGGACTGGGGCCTTCGGCACAGGACCCTTGTTATCCCAAGTGCCAATGTCCATGTTATGCTTTATAGGTGGGGGGGGCAGCGCACCCCCCATGACAGGCCCGCTCTTTGTTTTCATTTTAGGCTGTGGTTTTGCAGGCTTGCTAGCAATGGCAGCCCATGAGGTCGGCTTTGAAACCGGCATGTTCACATTTGCCCCTCCATTGCCAGAAAGGACACCAGTCAGTGCCACACTGCTGACGACAGAGCCCACCGTCTTGACAGCAGAGGAGCTAACGTCCCCGATCTTCAGGCCAACCATACCCTGCTCCAGGCTGTTCATCCCGGGGGCCTTGCTGAGGGTGTCACTATGAAAGCCTGGCTGCCCATCCACCACCGTGCCGCCCAGGGAGCTCGGGGGGTAGGTGTAGCTGCTCCCATAGGCAGAGCTCTGGGTCTGCTGACCTTGAGACCCACTTGTCCCCCATGCTGAGAAGGCAGGGTTTTCAGGGAAAAAATTAAACCTGTGCTGATAGATGTTGTTCCCCAGGCCCCCAGGCTGCCCAAAAACAGCATCGTGCATAAAATGATGGTCTCCGTTACTGAGCTGTCCATAGGTGGTGAGGTATGGGATCGGAGGGTCCCCTGCAGTGGACCACGGAGCCTCATTGAGGGAGTAAGGAAATCCAATGGACGGCGGGTAATAGCTGGACAGGTAGGGGTCGCTCATTGAGGGGTAACTGTTACTCTGCAAAACAAACACGTGACAAGTTACACCACTTCTACAACACGAGAAGATGCTGAAAATGCCAGCCACCACTTCCTGCTTAAGCATAGGTGGGGCAAAAACAAGGCTGGCAGAGCACTGGGCTACTCCTTCCAAAAGGAAAGCTACGGTCGTCAATGTGAGAACCACATGAAGACAGAGAGAAGTTAATAATGAACACAAACCAGGTGGTTGTCTCGAAATATGAAACAGCATTTGCAAGGCTCTGAATTCAGGCTATATGACTGAGCTAAGCCTCTCCAGAATTAGCAAGGTAGCAGCCCCTCCCTCTACTCTTACCTAAAAAGAATCCAGAGTTTGATGAGAATGCTTAGGACAGACACGGACAGTGTCATGGGAACTGAAATGGCTTTGTAAGGCAGAGATATTTCCATTGGCAAACCAGGATGTGCAGGGCCAAGAGGCAGTCATCTCCAGAGAACAGACCCCAAGCTCAGTGATTACTCAGCAGGCCCCCAGGCGCCTACCTCTGGGCCTTGACACCCCTCCTGGGACACTCTCCCCCCGAGACATCCTTCAAGGGTGCTTCAAAGGCCCCTTCCACACACCCCTCCTAGCAGACTCCCACGCCTCTAAGTCCAAGGGGGTTCACATTCTCATGGTTTCCTGGGCGCAGAGCTGGGCTCCTGGAGTGGGCCCCTGCACAGAGGGCCCTGGCTGGCTCCAGGTCTGTAGCTGAGAGAAAGCATCCCAAGTATAAAAACTCTGCTCTCCAGTGGAGAGCAGCCCCCGCTTTGGGTGCCAACTCAGTTGGGCTTCCTTACTGAAAACATGTCTATGTGGTGACCAGAACCTCGAGTGTTTTTACAGTGACGGAACCATGAGGCAAAAAGGTCTGCTAGAGAAGGTGAGGGCTTGGCCACATCATAGGGGTCTCCGAAGAGCTGCCCAGGGCACAGATTTAGATTTTGGGTCAGCAGTTCTGGGACAGCATCTCTTTGGAGACTCAACCAAGGGTCTGGTCAGAACTGGGTCCCTCTAACACTGCCTTAAAATGGCTTTTGTGTGTGTGTGTGTGTGTGTGGGTGTGTGTGTGTGTGTGCGCGCGTGCACGCGCGGACACACGCAGGTGGGTGAGAAGGGGTCCAGCGTGAAGCAAGAAGGCTCCCGCCTGGGTGCGTCATCTAAGAGTGCCAAAATGCTGTTCTGAAATGAAAACAGAGCAGGAAGTAAACACAGAGCTCTCCAGTCTGTGACGTCTGTTTCAGATTTTTAAATAGTTTTCCTGGTCCCTTCCCCCAAGTCTCCCAAGTAACCAGAAAGTTCCACATAAAGAACATAGTCTAGAGACCTCATCTCCCAACCTCGCCCGTCACATTTGCCTTTCATGTTGGCATCAAAGGCCACGCTCTGAAGGATAACAGCACCTAGCCAGGGACACCAGGTGGGAAGGGATCTGAGCAAAGAGGGAGACTGTGGGATCCCAGACAATGAGAAGGGCCTGCTTCACTGGAGGGATGACCGTAAGCAGCTCTCCCTGGGGGCAGCGGCCCAACACCAGCCAACATTAATGAACTAGTGACCTAGCCACCACTTCCTGCCTCCTGCTCCCATCTAGAACACCTAGGGCTTCAAGAATCGAATTTCTTTTCTAATTTGCTTCCTGTTGACTGCTCCATTTGTGAGCAGACAATTCCAGAATCTTTTTTTTTTTGAGACAGAGTCTTGCTCTGTCACCCAGGCTGGAGTGCAGTGGCGTGACCTCAGCTCACTGCAACCTCTGCCTCCCAGGTTCAAGCGATTCTCAGGCCTCAGCCTCCCAAGTAGCTGGGATTACAGATGCACACCACCATGCCCAGCTAATTTTTGTATTTTTAGCAGAGACAGGATTTCATCATGTTGTCCAGGTTGGTCTCAAACTCCCAACCTCATGTGATCCGCCCGTCTCAACCTCCGAAAGTGCTGGAATTACAGGTGTGAGCCACAGCGCCCAGCCTCAGATTCATCTTTTAAAATGCACTAACTACTGCTTCCCTGTAACAAAAATTTGAGATTCTAGGGGTATAAGACGACAAGTGGGACACTATCAGTGTTCCACAAACATGTGAGAAACCTGAGCTTATTCCCCCTCAAGAGGATTTCAATGATGTCCGCTCCTTTGCTGCAGCCCTTCCCTGGGTGCTGCCCTGTCCAGCAGGCCCAGACAGGAGGGTGGGTGAGCGAATCAGGGGCGGCCTGTGCTGAGGACCTGCTCCTTGAATCACTGGCCGCAGGTGCCTTTAAGGATGGCAGGGTGAAGGAGACAGTCCCCCTACAGGGTAGCCAGCCCTCCTCCTTCCCATCAGCTGGACATGCGCTCCTCAGCAGCGCTGCAATCACAACATATCCTCCTTCCCACGCAAAAAGAGTAGACAGAAAAAAAAAATCTCGATGACTGAGTGGCATTCTATCCACTTGGCCACAAAACCAACCAGAGGAGCCAGGCCACAGAAACAGATGCCCAGGGACACTTCTGACTTACACTTAAAGCCTTAACTAAGACAGGACATCACTTAAGAACTGAGAAAATGCACCTTATATTAAGCATTTAACATCCCTGAAAATCTGTTTTAAGTACGAAATGGATACACCTAGCACACAGGCCGCACAGACACAAGAGCCCACAGTGAGCCATCCAGCTTCCCTCTCCCCAACGTGCAGGCCCTGCATCCTAGCCGGTCCTCTCCAAACCCTTCAGCCCCAGATCACCACCATTCCCGTCCTGAACCACGGAAGAAGGTGACTCAAAATCTGCTCTGCCGGCAGCCCTAAGCCCTCCCAACACTTTCTGTCCTCACCAGGTTACACAGCCCACACACGTAGGCTGTCTATAGTGACCTCGGGTACTAGGGGCCCAATTTCCGTTTTCACCTCAATCTTACTGACAGCCCATTTTCTTTCTTTCTTTTTTTTTAAGAGACAGGGTCTTGCTATGGAGTGCAGTGGTTATTCACAGGTGCGATCCCTCTACTGATCAGCACAGGAGTTTTGACCTGCTCCGTTTCTGACCTGGGCCAGTTCACCTCTCCTTAGGCAACCTGGTGGTCCCCCGCTCCCGGGAGGTCACCATATTGATGCCGAACTTAGTGCGGACACCCGATCGGCATAGCGCACTACAGCCCAGAACTCCTGGACTCAAGCGATCCTCCCACCTCAGCCTCCTGAGTAGCTGGGACTACAGGCACGTGCCACCACGCCTGGCAACAGCCCATTTTCTATGACATCTGCCATCTTTCCTTCAAAATTCTGAGGGTAAAGCAGCACGTTAATTTGTAAAGCTATCTGAAGTAAGTCCTGTAATAAGAAAACCCGGAAGTGCTGTCCTCTGCCTTCTTTACGATCCACGTGTCAGCCTGCTGCTCCACACTCCTTCCCTGGTAAGGGAGGCTGTCCCAGTCATGGTCCCAGTCACAGTGGTGGGAGACACCTATTCTGGTCTAAACTTACAGCAACTGACTTCAATGCGCACTGGAAATGCACAGTGCAGGCTGCCTGTGAACCACACGAAGCCTCCCTTCAGAGCCTCTGATCTCCCTTTGTCTCAGGCACCGCCAGGCACAGGCACACCCCTGCTCACTCACTCCCAAGTGCTGGATGAGCTGTGCTGCCCCCTAAACATCGCTTAGGACCATGGCTCCGTCCGCACCGAGTTATGAGCATGAAAGTTTACTTCTCAGGGATATAGTTGCACCAACTGAAGTTATAAGAACAAATTCTAAGCTTGCTCTTAACACATGACTACCTCTGAGCAAACGTTATTTTGGTCCTGGTAAATGAGCAGCATAAACAGACCTTTAAAGGACAATACAGGCAAAATCATTTCATCATCCTGCTCCTCGGCAGCCGCACAGAAGACCGTTGTACACGTCCACATCCTGGGTAACTCACTGCAGGCCCTGCGGTGAACTTAAGACCTCATGTAAGAAAGGCTAACACATTTCAGGCTGGGCAGTGGCTCAGGCCTGTAATCCCAGCACTTTGGGAGGCTGAGGTGGGTGGATCACCTGAGGTCAGGAGTTCAAGACCGGCGTGGCCAAGACAGTGAAACCTGTCTCTACTAAAAATACAAAAAATTACTGGGCGTGGTGGCACATGCCTGTAATGCCAGCCATTTGGAAGGCTGAGGCAGGAGAATCACTTGAACCCGGGAGGCAGAGGTTGTGCCACTGCACTCCAGCCTGGGCAACAAGAGTGAAACTCCATCTCAAAAAAAAAAAAAAAAAAAGAAAGACTAACAAATTTTAAAGGCAAAATTGGAGTCCCCTGACAAAGAAAAATACAACTTTAGATTCTTAAGCCTCCTCCTGTGACTAACTGGAAAAAAAAGGATAAACAAAATAGATACTTCAAATAATTAAAAAAACTTTAAATAATCAGGGAATATTATATCTCCAGGTCATTTGAAAATCTAAACAGTAAAACACAAAGAAGCCCTAATTCTACAACTAAGAGCAGTTTTATATACTTACTCAAATTTAACCACATTAAAAAAAAAGAAATTCCCATCAGGATGACCAGAACCATTTAAGTTGAAGTTAAAATGTTTCCTTCCTGTATCAGCTTTTCTGAAATGGAAAGAAATCTGAAATTGTTCAAATACTTTCAGTATTACAAACAAAAATGTAACTTGGAATTGAAATGACCAAGAGGAGGGACAAGAGAGAGAAGCAGAAAGGATTCCTTCAGAAGCCCAAGACGAACAGAGAGAAGCATTTGCTTAATTAAAAAATAAAAAACAAAACAGTAAGTTATGTAAAAGGAAAAGTATCCAGGGTACTGCTGAGAGGTGAGGGAGCGACATGGCTCCTGGGAACTAACGGTGACCCAGGACTGGGAACAGGCCTCCCGTGACCTGTGGTTCCTCAGCAGAAGCCTCAGGAGACACAGAGAAAACGTGAGAGGAAAATAACTGAAAAACCCTCATTTACTTACTCGACTGCTCATTTTTCAGATCTGTTTTCAGGGCTCATCCTTCTGAGACTGCAATTTCAGCCCCTCAGCTGGTGGCAACAATATGCAGAGACAGCAGTTTCTGACAGAATCTCTGCATTTGTTCCAGCAACTCACCAATAAGAAGCATGTTAAGAGCCCACTGTGCCCTTCCAGCTGTGTTTCTGGGAAGCCGCTGTGATGGCAAATGCCTGCTTAGCAGGCACTGCCACTGGGTGTTTTAAGGAAGACCATATTTTTAGATACTCCCCTGCTGGCCCTCAGGTAACCCCGGGCCCACCAGAGCTGCCCGTACACAGCAGGAAGCCCTGTGCCAAGCATCTCCAGGCTGTTCTCAAGGAACTTGTGAATGCTCTGATAAGGAACTGAGTTCAGTGAAAAAAAACACCCAAAACCTGATGGGCAATTTCGTCACTGTGTGATCAGTGTACTCACACAAAAGGAGACATGCGTGTGGAGGCAGCGTCCCTGCTACACACTGAGGCTGTCACCTGTACTACGTGCAACTGTACTGAACACTGGAAGTAACCGTAACATCGGTAAGTTTCTGTGTGTCTAAACGTGGAAAAGGTACAGTAAAAATAAGGTGTAAGAGATGAAGAATGGGACACCTGTAGAGGGCAATCCTGGTGAATGGAGCAGGTGGGACTAAAGATGCTCTTGGTGAGTGAGTGAGTGAATGTGAAGGCTGGGTCCTTCCTGGACACCACTGTTGACTTCATAAACACTGTACACTCAGACTACACTACATTTTTAAATTGTCCTTTTTCCAATAATAAACCCTAGCTTACTACAGCTTGTTTTACTTTACAAACTACTTTTTTAAAAGCTTTCAGTTTTGACTCTTTTGTAACAACAGCTTAAATCACAAATACATCATATAGCTGTATAAAAATATATTTTTTGTTTTATCCTTATTCCATAAGCTTTTTTCTATTAATTTTTTTTTAACTTTTTGAACTTTTTTCTTAAAAACGAGGAAATGGCCTGGCACAGTGGCTCATGCCCGCAATTCCAGCACTCTGGGAGGCTGAGGCAGGACTGCTTCAGCCCAGGATTTCGAGACCAGCCCAGGTAACATAGTGAGGTCTCATCTCTAGAAAAAAATCAAAAATGAGGCAGGGAGATCACTTGGGCTCAGGAGATCAAGGCTGCAATGAGCCACCACTGTACTTCTGCCTGGATGAGGGAAAGACCCTGCATTAAAAAAAAAAAAAACCTAAAAACACAAAGACACAAACGCCTAGACAGGGTCAGGGTCATTCTTTCCCTGTCTTCCACCTCCACACCTTGTCCCACTGGAAGGTCTTCGGGGGAGTAACAAGCATAGAGCTGCCCTCTCCTGTGACACCAATGGCTTCTTCTGCATTCCTCCTGAAGAACCTGCCTGAGGCTGCTTTATAGTTAATTTTGTTTTCTAGTAAGTAGGCAGAATATGCTCTTAAAAGTATAGTAAATATGTAAAGCACTCACACTTACCATCAACTTCAAGTATTACATACTGTGTGTAACTGTGCGTGCCACGCTCTGCTATGACTGGGGCAGTAGGCTTGGTCACACCCACTGCATCACCACAAGCACGTGAGTAATACGCTGCTCTATAACATTATGGTGGCTCCAACACCACCAGGCGACAGGACTTTTTCAGCTCCATCATCATCTTAGGGGACCACTATCATATATGTGGTCATGTGGTCTGCTGTTGACTAAAACGTCATCGGCAGCACAAGTACAGGTGGCCTTGGTAATTTCTGTCAGTGAGGTCACAGCAAACACACTCAGTCTGTCCATCAGCGAGTGCACAGGAGGCCTGAGGGGCCAGCAGCATCTATTCCCAACTTGGGCATCACACAGAGACAATGTCTTCTAAACTCTGAGCAGGAACTGCGCTGGGTCATTTCACAGTCTTTCCTTTCAGAAAACAAGAGTACTGGGAAACTAGAAGTCCCTGAGCAAGCAAAGCCTCAAAAGAGAAAATCACAACAATCAAGCCCAACCCAGAGGCCTTCACTCCCAGCTCCTCTGCTCTAACTGCCATTCGGGTCACAGAGCAGAAGACAGAGGCTGCGCAGTTCAGTTGCAAGCGCTGCGAGGGCACGGAGGACGGAAACTCTAGCACCAGAAGCACGGCAAGGAGAGTGAGGCCTCCCTAAAGGAAGGGCCACAACCCCACACGGCCCATTACAAGTTAAACCAATCTAACCTGCAGGCATTCTCCTAAGACTTTCTAAACCACTCTAAGTATTACAGTTTCACACAAAATTCAAGAACCACAGTAGCCTCCAATTGGCTACTACAAGCCATATCTGGATTCTTCTTTTTTAAGCACCCAGGGTCAGGCTGCACACAGTGGCTCCTGCCTATAATCCTAGCACTTTGGGAGGCTGATGTGTGCGGATTCCTTGAGCCCAGGAGTTTGAGGCCAACCTGGGCAACAGAGCAAGACTTCGTGTGTACTAAAAATTTAAAAATTAGCTGGGCGTAGTGGCAAGCACCTATAGTCCCAGCTACTCAGGAGGCTGATGTAGGAGAATCACCTGAGCCCACGAAGTCAAGGCTGCAGTGAGCCGTGATCGCAGTATGCACTCCAGCCTGGGCAACGGAGTGAGATGTGTCTCCAAAAAAAGAAAAAAAAAAAAAAAAAAGGACCCAGAGCTAATGGGTATGTTCACTATCTTAACTGTGCTTATGGCTCCAGAGGTATGCCTGGGTAAATCAACAGCTATAAAACTCTACTGTATACTCTAAATACAGAGCTAAAACGCCCATTAACATAAAAATAATCTAATCCATTTTTAAAGAAATTTTCCCAAACAGCAAAAAAGCTCTGACTTTATAAAAATATTTTTGGCTGGGCACAGTGGCTCATACCTGTAATCCTAACACTTTGGGAGACCAAAACAGGAAGATCACTTGAGCTCAGAAGTTCAAGACCAGCCTGGGCAACATAGAGAGCCCCACCCTGTGTCTACGATCAATCAATCAATCAATCAATCACCAGGTATGGTGGTGCATGCCTGTAGTCCCAGCTATTCGGGAGGCTGAGGCAAAAGGATCGCTTAAGCCCAGGAATTTGAGGCTACAGTGAACTATGATCATGCCTGAACTCTAGCTTGGGTAACAGAACAGGGCCCTGTTTCCAAAACACACACACACACACACACAATTTCACGTGTACTGAAGCAACGTCCTTCCCCCTTTATTGGCTAAAATTCAGTACATGATACTATTCAAGTATTAAAATCATAAGAACAGTAGAAAACACAATTATTAAAAAAAAAAAAAAAAAAAAGTTCATTTAACTTCCTGCCACTGCCTCTATCCAAAAGCCCATCACTGAGGCCAAGTCAGTTCTGCTCAGAGGGACAGATTCTCCGAAGGCAACAACCAAGAGACAAGAAACAAAAGCAGGGTGGGGTCGGGGCAGGGCTGCCAAGACTCCACCCGTAAAAGGTTTCTTGGTCTCTAAGCAGCTTGATTAGCCAAGTGCAGTAGGACCGAGGGGGATGACGCAACATTCTAAGAAGTCCTAAGACGCCTTAGAAAAGAGCAGACCAGTTTTATTCCTGCACAGAGATGAGGTGAGGCCTGGTTTTACTTTAATGCAAACATGCCCAGTAGCTAAGGTTTACTTCGAGCTCAGGAGATGGAGCACTGGAGCACCTGCTGTGTGCTGCCCCACGAGGCCGAAGTGAGGGACTCACAGATGGGCAGCCCCTTGCCCAAGCTACCGGCCTGGAGGTAGGAAAGTGAGGCAGAGCAGTCTGGTTCCCGAGCCGGACTCTCAATCAGACACCGCTTCTCTCAGGAGTTTTGCTGCAACAGGAGCACAAAGGAGAGAGCACAGCTCCCAGTAGATTTTAACCAGGGCAATTTTATCCCCCAGAAAACATCTGCCAAGACAGTTTTGCTTGCCACAACCGGGGGAGGAGAGGGGGTTGTTAATGGTATCTAGTGGGTGGGAAGCCAGGGCAGCTGCTAAATATCCCACAATCAACAGGACAGCCCCCAAAAGAGAATGTTCCCGTGCAAAATGTCCACCGTGCCAAGGCAGAGAACGCCGGAATCACCTAAGAAAACAGGGCAGCCATGACTCAGTGGTCCTGCCATATCAGGTACTGTCTCAGCGTGTTCTGTGCAGCATCTGATGTCATCCTCCCAACAATTCCACAAAGAGTTACTACTCTCTCTGTTCCGCAGAAAAGCAAATTGAGGGAAGAGAAGGCAAGCCACCCGACACAGGCCAGTCAGTGGTGGAGTTAAAACTGAAACCAAGCTGAGCGCTCACAACTGTAATCCCAGCACTTTGGAAGGCCAAGGCAGGTAGGTCAACTAAGATCAGGAGTTCAAGGTCAGCCTGGCCAACATGGTAAAAACCACATCTCCACTAAAAATACAAAAAATAGCCAGGTGTGGTAGCAGACGCCTGTAGTCCCAGCTACTCAGGAGGCTGAGGCAGGAGAATTGCTTGAACCTGGGAGGCGGAGGTTGCAGTGAGCCAAGACTGGTCTCTGCACTCCAGCCTGGGTGACAAGAGCAAGACTCTGACTAAAATAAAAGACTGAAAACCAGGCGGCGTCCGGCTCCACAGTCCAGCTCTTAGCTGCTTTCCCAGACCACAATTCAAATCATCCAGAGCTAAAAAATAACCAGGAAGCTTCAGAAACACACATGTAACACACCTCCGCTGTGTCAAAGGCACGACATCACTGACCCACAAACACTGGAACCAACCAGAACTGTTTGCATTCCAACGCCAGCAGGATGCTACCTCCTCCACAGGGAAAATCATTTTCACCCCACTCATGCCCCCAGGTCAATGGGAGGTGCATCTTCATGAGCATTTTATCATTTCTAATACTTTAGTATGCTTCTTCGTTGTTTAGGATAATAATCAGAAGTGAGAGTAAAGGTGTGTTACAAAACAATTAAAACCAACTTAAAGACAAATGCATGCTAACAAAATAAACTTACCTGATTTGACTGTCCAGTAAGGTAGGGCTCGAAGTCACCGTCATGAACTGTATCCTTCTGATGTAAGGAACCATTTTGTACTAGAACAAAAAGTTGCAAGGTATTACCCTCAAATTTTAAGATTACTTTTAAGCATGGAAATCAAAGTTAGTAAGTCCATTTCCATCTATTTCTAGTAGAAATTATACTTTTATTTTAAAAGAGTACAACCGGTACAGAACTGATGTTTACACGATTAGAGGGATGATTCGAAACTTTCAATGATTCAGGCTAAATTTTAAATAAAGGTTTAATCATAATTTAGTGAGATTGATCAAATTAAGTGCGAACACACAATGCAAAGAACTCATAACCAGGTGAAACTGACATGGTCTAAGAAGACCTATGTGTGGCAAATGGAAGTGGAGCCTCCAAAAGCCCAAATGCACAATGCATGCCCGAATGCACCAAAAACTGAGGGAGAAAACTCAGGAGGGAAGGAGCTGCCACTGAATGGCTGTTGGGAGCTGTTATCTGACTCTCTACAGTGAACCCCAAATATCTGAGGCAGGTCTCAATCAATTTTGAAAGTTTATCTTGCCAAAGGTGAAGACACTCCCATGACGCAGCCTCAGGAGGTCCCAACGACACGTGCCCCCAAATGGTCGGGACACAGCTTAGTTCCACACGTTAGCGAGACATGAGAACAATCCATGTATTTATAATTGGTTTGGTCTGGAGAGACGGGACAACCTGAAGCAGGGAGGCGGCTTCAGGTCACAGGTAGGTAAGAGACCAGGGGCTGCATTCTTTCGAGTTCCTAATTAGCCTTTCCAAAGGAAGCACTCAGATATGCATTTATCCCAGTGAGCGGAGCGGGGACTGTGACTTCTGTCCTTTGTGCACCAGGAACTTCCCTGGGGCCGAACTGTGAGGGAGGCACGTAACTTTTTTGGGGAGGCAGGTGTGCCCGAAGCAGTTCCCCGTTTGGCTCAGCGATTTGGGGGGCCCGAGATTTATTTTCCCTTCACACCACTTACCTTCCCAGTGTTACTACGCTCGGCCAGAAAAAGAAAGCAAAGGTAAAGAGCGAGCCGGGCTTTACAATCCCAAAACACGACGAACCGTGTTTGGTTACACCTGAGCTCACACACGCAACGGCTAAAAGCGTGTTCCGAGCAAACGCGCAGCGTCACTGAGCGGTTTTCGCAAGTGCGCGCCCGGGGCCTGTATTCCAAGCCCGGCGGTCGCGGGAGGCGCGAACGGGCTCGGGCCCCGGCGGCCCCGGCGGGTTGGGCGGCCCCGGCGCGGGCCGCTCCGAGCGCTCGCTCCCTGCTCCCGAGAACCCCGGCCTCCACCTGTCGGGTCTCCCAGAACCGTCGCACGGCCTCAAGCGTTATCTCCCCGAAGCTGGCGGAAGACAGGACGTTTCCGGTTCCCGGGCAGCTTCCTGGGCCGTTCATCCCCGTCCTCCTCCGCGCCAGCCCGCGCCGGCCGTCCCGGGCCTCCGCTCACCTTTGTTGTCTTGTCCTTTTGTTCTCTGCGGCGCCGCAGGCCGGGACGCGGGGGGCGCACAGCCGGGGAGGGAAACGCACAGTTATTCACCGGGCACCGGGCTCCCGCCGGCGGCGCGGCCGCGCGCGACCCCGGCCCCCGCCACCCGGCCCCGCGGCCCGGCCCCGCGACTCCACCCCGGCCCCCTTAACCCGGCCGCGCTACCTGGGCGTCCACACTGGTGGCCGACATGCTTCATCAACAGCTCGGCGCGGGGCCGGGGCGCCCGCCGGCTCGGGCCTCCCCGACAGGCCGCGCCTGTCACCCTCGCTCGCGCGGCCCCGGGCCCCGCCGCCAACTCCCCGGGCGCCGGCCGGGCGGCGGCGGCGGCGGCTGCTGGGCGCGCGGGCCCCTGGCGAGGCGGCGGCGGCGGTGAGCCCGGGACGCGGACGCGCCGAGGAGGCGTCGACTCCAATGGCGGCCGCAGTGGCGGCGGCGGCGGCGGCGGCGGCGGCGGCGGCGGCGGCGGCGGAGGAGGAGGATGAGCCTACGCGGCGTCAGCGCGCGCGGGGCAGGCCGGGAGCGCGGCGAGCCGCCACGCTTCGCGCCTGCGCGCTGTGGTCTCGCGGGACGGATTTTGCTCCCAGGTCCCAGTCTCGCGCGGCGGGGCGGGGAAACCGCGAGCCGGGGAAGTCACGTGGGGCGCGTCCAGCGGCGCCGCCGGGCCTGGCGGGAAGGGGCGGGGGGTTGCCGCCCCGTGCGCGCGTCCCCACCACGGCCACAGCCGCGGACCCCGACCCGCTTCGGGCACTGGGGCCTCTGTGGTTTTCCCCAAGGTCCGAAGACTAAACGCTGCTCCGGTCGGCCAGCCGCGCTGCGGGTCAGTCCGAGGGTCCGTCCGAGGCCAGTCCGCCTTGCCCACCTCCCCACGCGAACGCCTGCCCGCCCGCAGCCCCTGCGTGTTCCGGGGCGCGCACCGCGGCCCTTGCCACGGGACCTGCGGGCTTTGTTGGCCCTGCGGCCTGGCCGTCAGCCGCCGCGGAGCCCTGGGCCCGCAAGAGGCTCGCGGGCTTCTAACCAAGCCTGCGTGTTAGATTCGTGACCCCGATTTCAGCACCAGGAGAAAGGACCCCGCGGCAGTGCTGTGCGCCCTGGCCGAGGCCGGGCAGCGGGACTTCCGTCTTCGTTCGGGGACGGACACCCCCTTCGTGGCTGCCTCTGTGCGAAGAGAGCCCAGTTCTCTTTTCCTGACCCCTCAGCATCCCGGCCTGGACGCTCCTCTGGTCAGGGGTTGAATTTCGCTTCCTGGAGCCAACTCCCTCCAGCGCCTTCCAGGTTCATCTTCTTTCCAGCTCTGGCAGGCGGAACATCTTCACGTGGCCCGGATCTGGGTCCCGCTCAAGGAGAAACCTGGCCTGGGGTGTCAGGCAGGCAGACGTCAAAGGGCTGTTCCACAAAGTGGGCCCGGGCAGAGGCGCTAAGCGGGGAGCAGGGACAGCAGGGACGGCAGTGGGGTCCCAAGACGGCTCCACGCCTGGACATCCACATCGGTGGCGCAGGAGGAGGTGGAAACGTCCGCCACAGAGAGCGAGCACGGCGGCTCCACATGTCCAGCACCGCTCAGGTGGCCCCTCACCGGGCCTCCCAGGGCCCTGCCTCGCCTAAAGCTGGGGAAAGCAGGCTGGGCGTGTTTCTCTGGAACAGAGCTGGGGAGGTCTGGTGCCCTGGGGCCCAATCTGGATGCACTGGGACTTTGATATGCTTGGGCCGTGCGCAGCTCAGGCCAACATGAAATCTGTGCATTTGGGGTAGATGTGAAAAAGACATGGAGAAGATGTGTGGGGATTGTAGGTCCAGCGGGGCTCCTGGAGGCACCCTGCCACCTGCCTCTGTGTGATGAGGCCTGTGCACCCTGGGCAGGGCTTGAGGGCCTGCTTCCCGGGACACTGAACTGCTTGGCGGCTGTGACCGCAGCCAGGGGGTGTCTGGGCGGTCAGAGTGGCCGCTCAGACTCTCACAGCTCCTGTCTGTCTTCTCCCACGGCTCACATCCCTCAGGCAGGACAGTGCAGTGGTCACCACTGGAGCTGAGAGCCACACAGCCAGTTACAGGGCCTTCAGCCCCAGGCCTCTCGTCCTCCGTGGGGGGTGACGCTCCCCTCTCACAGGATGAGTGCGTAGAGGAAACGGCATGCAGCCCTTGGCGTCAGGCCAGGGCTCCATCAACGCTGGTTGTGACCTGCTGCCTTTGCCTGCATGTGCCCAGGCAGTCACCAGACGCAGAACTGGCTGTGCAGGAAATGGCCGCTCAGAGCCTGGGGGCCTTCTTCCATGGCCGAGTGCCGGCAATTCGGGACCCTGGGGAGCCTTCGTAACAAAGTACCAGGAACTGGGGGGGCTTAAGTAACTGAAATGTATTCTCTCCCCGTCCTGGAGGCTAGAAGTCTCGGGCCAGCATCGCTGGGCTGACTTGGAGGCGAGGGCCATCAGGGAAGCTCCCCCGCCTCCTTCAGCCTCTGATGGAGGCCGGCAGTCCTTCCTCATCTTCGTCCTCACCTTTGTTGCCTTCTGGCCTCTTTCTCTGTCTGTGTCTGTTCTTATAAGGACACCCATCATTGAATTTAGGGCGCACCCTAATCCAGGGTAGCCTCATCATCATGCAATCATATCTGCAAAGAACCTTTTCTAAATAAAATCACACAGGTGCCGGGTGGACATGAGTTTTTGGGTACAGTCTTCAGCGCACTGCAGAGATCACTGGGGAGGGCTCACAGTGATGCCTGTGGAGAGACTTTGGAGGGGACTCCTGGGGCTGAGTGGGTTCTGCTCACAAATGTGATGAAAGGAGTGGCTCCCCCAGTGAGGCCTGAGGACGCGACACCATGCCAGCCTAGCCCCACTGGCATGGAAGAGGCTGGCGGGATTCCACAGCCACTGCCTGGACCCACCCAGGCTTTTGCTCTGAACTCCAGAAGGCTCCATGCTGATCCTGACATGGAAGGAGACTGCAGCTGCATGGGGGCAGCACAGGTCTAGCTGGCCGGGAACAGGGCACCCCAGAGTGACTTGAATGCAAGGACGGTGGCACCAGCGGGGGAGGCTGAGGTCCTCAGACCAGCTCTGGGGGGAAAGCCATTCCCTTGGCCAGGCCTGAGGACCTGGGAGCGTGTCACAGGAAGCCAGTAGTTGAGCTGCCTGTAAGCTTGAAGGGCCCCATCCACTACCCGGCCTGCCCAGGCTCACACCCCAGCCCAGCCCTCAGCCAGGCAAAGGGAGGGGACCCAGCACTGTCAGAGGCCAGCTGCTTCTCCCTCACCGGGAGCAGGCAGCTCCTCATGAAATAGATCAGAGGGTTTGCCGACTTCTCTGGGTGGCCCAGCAGTCTGGAGACCACACCTGCCATTTCCAAGCCTGCGCCCTCAATGACGTCAAAAGGGTCCATCCCATGTGGGCTGCCTCCTCTAGACGGGAACCCTCTTGCTCAGGGAAACTGTTGCTCATCCAAGAGCCTCCTCCCAGCAGCCGGCAGCACCCCCTGCCCCCCACCCCCCCTGCAGCACTCCCTCCCAGCAGCACC